GTCTCACAGAGAGAGAGAGAGAGAGAGAGAGAGAGAGAGAGAGAGAGAGAGAGAGAGAGAGAGAGAGAGAGAGAAGACAGAGAGAGCTGTTGGAGAGAGAGAGAGAGAGAGAGAGTGAATTTATTTTTTTCTCCCCACTTCTCTTCTCTGCCAGGGCCCTGCAGGTCTGCGCCAATCCCTACCCACCTCCACCCCCCATATATATATATATATACAGCCCCTCGTTTGTTGTCCTCTTCTCCCTCTCTGCCTACGGTTTACCGGGCAGTTCTATTTGACGATATATATATATACATAACATAGTTTGTTTTTAGATTATTTGGATTTTCTTAATTTTTATTTGTTTTTCTGGGACCTTCCCTGGTCCTTGCATGCTCGGGCTCCCCGGCTGGTAGCCTAGTGTATATATATATATATATATATATACTCCGACGAAACAATTTGTCATAGCCCCTCGTATGTTGTCCTCTGCTCCCTCTCTGCCCACTGTTTACCGGGCAACTCTGTTTGACGATATATACCACGACTTCGCTAGCACCCTGCTATGGTTTTCTCCGGTCAGGTCGAGGGGCAGTGGTAGGGGCCGTCACTATGCGGTCATGTTGTATCTTTGGTGCCAGCTGCGCGTTTGGAGTGTATTTTTTTACTGTGACAGACCTTTCTTGGTTTCATGGTTGTTTTGTTGGTTTGTGATGGGGTGTGAACCGATAGTCTATAATTTTTTTCCATCTGCCGTTCACAGAATTCAGCCCCCGTGACCGGCCGGTCACGTTAAAGTGACCGGTGCCGGTCCCGTCCCGTGAACGGGACCGGCACTGATGCCCCCCCTTCCCGGGTCACTATCACTGCCTTCGGCATCTGTTCGACTTGCAACTTGCAACTTTGTTGCAACTTTGTTGCAAGGTCTCGCAATCAGGGCAGGCTACGACCATGACGCTCTATAGCTGCAGCTGCGTTTTGCGGTAGCTAGAGCTTGAGCCTACCTTCACATCCGAGAATCCCCAGATGATGAAGGGAATCACGGGCATGATCTCGTAGGCCCTTTTTACCCAAAACAGGCACTTCGTGAAAAGTAGACATTTCGTGAAAACTGGACTCGAGTCAAGAAATTTACATTGATTTTAAAAAAAACGGGTTTTAAGGCTGTCACATAGGACATGCATTGGCTGTTGTCACAAACATTTGGGCATTAACCTATATTTTTTGTAACACAAAAAAACAAACAACATGTTTAACTTATTGCCAATACATCAAAGTTGCAGATTTGCTTTGCATAAGGAGAACTATGTTTTTGGAAGTCATACGCATAAGTGGAGGCAACTGCACGTCAGTTGCCTATGCTTCTCCCCTTTTCCGCGGC